TGCAGCCGCCGTCGGTCGCCGCGCCCGTCGCCCCGGGAGCCGCCCCATCGGAGCCGCCGCCCGTCGCGCGCCGGGGGAGCCCCGCCGCAGGAACCCGGCACCCCCTCGCCTCTCCAGTGCCTGCCTCGCCTCCCTCACGCAAACCTGCTCTACGCGCCGCCCCTCATCCTCGGCGGCGAGAGGTACGCGGGAGCTGCCGCCGCCGCCGCTGCCAGGGGCGTGGACGCGTGTGGGCCTACTATCGGCGTACGAGGTCGCGCCTGAGCCTGCGGCACGGTGGCGCGGGGCCCTCCGCCGCCAGTTCCCTGCCGGTTCGAGATCCCCCATTGCTCTCCTGCCTTCCGTCGTTGGTCTTCCTGCTACCAGCCCCGCCCTTCTCCGCCCTATCTCCAAGACAACGTTCTGCTCCATCCGTTGGTAAGTAGCGACCATGTCATCTCTTCCCCTTTCAATCCCTATAGTACTTTTCCCATGGTGTTTTTCGATGGTGATGAAACTCAGGCGCCCATGACCACCGTGTTTCTTTTCCTTTTATTCCTTGGCCGTAGTTTTCATGAATCGCAATGGTTTTCATTAGCTGTAAGCATGTAACTGATAGAGTAAGGCATGGCTGTTTGCTTTGATCAAATCCAACCCCATTATCAAATGAAATGCTAGGAGAAAATAAGTTGGTAGCACTTCTCTTTTTCCAAAAGAGCTGGCATGCTGGGCAGCAGTGCTCTTTTGGTTTTGCTTAGCTGCAGGATAAAATGATCACCCAGTTAGTCACGGGCTCATGGCTGGGTTAAATGTATTCAGAAGAAGAAGTCTCTGACCGCCACACCCGCTGTCCACCATTGGATTCAGTTTCGCCTTCAAACTGCGTTTATGCATAAATTCAGAGTCACGGAATAAAAATGCTTCTTTGTTGTGATAATCTAAAATTTCCAAAGATTTATTCCAAGTGATTCTCCAGATTTGTCCCCTCGGAGTAGTCAATTCTTTGTTGTAGACAAGATGGTACTCCTCGGAGTAGAAGTTGATGTACTGTAGTCATCTTCAAGTGCTGGTAGAAGCTGATTTAGTCGATTCTTTGGAATAAATTGCAGCAAATTACAGTACCGCGCTGTTCAATACGAACTGGATTTGTTGTAAATTTTACAGGTTGACTAAGGTGCTGTTGAGATGACTACGCTGCTGTCAATTTAAATAAACCTGAATTGACTTTGGAGTAAAACAGGGTAGACTTCAACTTCAAACAATAGCAGTAAGACAATAATAGTGGCTTTTTAGGCTTTTTTTAGAGTGTGTTTCATGCTGGCCTACAATGATGAACTAGGGCTGGCTTATATTCTGTTTCTGAATTCGGTTGATGTGCAGATTTAACAAATTGCAGTAGGGCTGGACTTTTCATAGGTAGCAGCCTCAGTTTATCTCCAAGGGATTATTGTTCACAGACACTATTGTAGCCATTTTGGGATATAGGGCTGGCCTTTTTCAACTGTAGGTTTTCACAAACAGTAGACATCTCAATACTTGCTTCTTGGAACAGCAACACACCAAGAATAAATTAACAGATCAACAAATGGTCCAGGAAACATAGCTGCTTGCTGGTATCTCCTGAATATTGAACCAAAACAAGATCCAATTCATAAATGAACAAAAACATGGCGCTAGCTGGTATCTCCTGGTAACACACCAAATTATTCAAATAAAATACTCCATGTAATTCAAATAAATACTCCTGTACAGGAGCCACCATACAAACCTCTCTGTAATATGTTGTGAGTACAACTTGAGAGAGTTTCAAAGAAATAAAAGAAAACAACTAACACTTCAGAGAATATATTGTTGTTTATATAAACTAAAACCCATTTTGGTTGTGATAAACAGAGAAAATAATATAGAACTGTGGTCTAACAATTTTGTCGTGATTCTTCTAATTTGAATTTGAATGCATCAAGGTATTGTCAATTTCTGTGACATGATTTTGTTGTGAATTTCAGATTTTAGAAGAAGAGATTGGTGGTGTTAAAGGACATTTTGGACCAATCAATGAATTAGCATTTAATCCTGATGGGAGGAGGTTAGTTCATACTCTAAATTGTATTTCTATTTCTTTGTTTGTATTTTGCCTTTGATCAAGATTAGCATTTAATCCTAAACATTTTAACAATCTCCGAGTCCAACTTTCAGGTCTTGAAAGTAGCATATACATCAAATGTTTGTGGACATCATGCATGGATGAAAATCTGGGAACAGTTAGTTTGTTGGCTATGTCTTGTCATAGCTGGGTGCTCGTGATTCAAAAGATTTAAAGGTGACCTCGTCAAAGCATTGTTTAGCAAAAAGAACACTGCAGGTAAAAACACAAGAAGGAAACATTGTGATGTTTGTCTGAATTTATTTCCTACACACCAGTTTTTTGTCTCAACGTCTGTAGAGGTTATGCTTGTGCTACTGAATTTAAAATTGAATAGAGCTATCATTTAGATGCGCTTTTGATAGCCTGCAGTTGGTTATTTGGTTGTCCCAAACTCAAGATCAATGCAATCACCTACTGTTAGTTCCATTACAGTTCTATTTCATAACAGAAAAAGAGCACACTGCTTTGTTTGTTAAAGATAAACACCTCCTTTAGTGTTCACAAGGGAATGTCCACAAAAATTGATGTGTTTGTCTTCTATCTCTAAATAAAAAAAAGGTTATATATGCAAATTGTACCAGTATTGATTTGTAATATTTTCTGGTACAATCAAACTATCTTTGTATGCATGTTATTCTCACATATACTTGTATATTAGTCGAGACGTGCATTTGCACGTGCACGCTTACTAGTATTATGAAATAGTTCACCTTTTGAATTTATAAAAATGTTCACCATGTATTATAATTCATCCTATATTATGAAATTGTTCAACGTATATTAAAAAATGTTCATTACGTATACACAAATTGTTCAACGTATATTAAAAAATGGTCACTGCGCACTTAAAATTTGTTCATCCTACATTAAACAATTGTTCAACACATACAACAAAATGTTTTCATTTGTGTACTTGAAATTTGTTCAATGTTTGCTTACTAAAAAGTTCACTGCATTTTAAAATTTATTCAACGTATATTATAAAAAATATTTTTTTTGAAAAAATGATGTGCCGCTGTCTACTTTTAGGCTAGCATTGCTCTAAAACTGCTGTAGGATGCTAGCTCGGCTGGCTAGGCACGCTAGAATCATTCAGGAGGTCTGGAGTTCGATCCACATGAGCGCTTCTTTTTTGCCGCTCGACGTATACGAGCGCCCAAGCGACGCGGGAGCGAGGGACAGAACCCAAAGTGGGCCGGCCCATGAAGGGGGCGCGCGTGGGCGCCGGTTGCTCCGAGTGGCGCTTAAGGCGCCACTTAGGAGCTCCCGGGATGACGTGGCCCTGGTAGGGGATAATGTAGAATACGGGACTGGTGAGGCCCAGTATTTCGTTGCTAATCTAGTTGCGGCCCAACATCATCCACTACGCCCCACTGCTACGCTTAACATTTCCTATCCCCATTTTCTTTCCGATCCCCTACGCCGTGGAGAAGCGCCGCCGCGGCCGCCGCGTCTCCACGAACAATCGCAGCCTACGCCGCCGCCTGAAACCAAGATATTTCTCCTAACGTGCACGGAGAGATCGCGAGCTACTTCCCCATCAAACTTCCCTTCTTCCCTAGATTGATTTGTCTCGATCCCTTGTTCTTTCAAGCGGCGCCATGGAGAGGAAGATCTCTAGGCAGAAGAAAGAGGCGAGCACGACGGACGCTCCGGCGGAGGCGGCCGCCTTCCTGACGGACGACCTCATCTTGGAGATCCTCTCCCGCCTCCCCGCCAGGTCCGTTCACCGCTTCAAGTGCGTCTCCCCGTCCTGGCGCGACCTCATTGCCGACCCCGCCAACCGCAAGAAGCTGCGCCACACCCTCGCCGGCTTCCTCTACGGCACCTACGACAGCGTAGGCCCCCGCTTCAATTACTTTGGGTTCGCCGACTTCTCGGTCGGCGCAGCCCTGCCGGTCGACATGTCCCTCCCTTTCTTGCCACCCAACAAGTACCTGCACGTCCTGGACACTTGCAATGGGCTCCTCCTCTGCCTCTGCTCCATGGCCCCTTCTTCTCCATCAACGGATGAGAATGCGCCGGTTGAACTCCATGCCCATTTCGTCGTATGCAACCCGGCCACCCGGAGGTGGGTCGCCCTGCCGCCTGGCTCACTGGCTCCAGACGAACCTCTCACCCTGGCTCGTTTGGCTTTTGATCCAGCAGTCTCGTCACATTTCCACGTTCTTCAGTTTAAGGGGGCCCGTTGGGGGGGATGCATCACACGAGTGAGCATCTACTCTTCGAAATCTGGAGCTTGGATTCGTAGAGAAAGCCTCTTGGTTGAAAAAATTCTTCTGAAATGTGGCGCTACAAGTGTCTTCTTTCATGGAATGCTGCACTTGCTTGGTTGGCTGTGCCCCCTTAACGTGAACGACGAGTTTGTGCTGCTAGCAGTGGACATGGAGGGGAAGGTGTGGAAGACTAACCGTGTCCCGTCCGATGGTTTGGCTTGTGGTAGAATTGGTTTATCACAGGGGTGCTTGCACTACTTTTCGATGCCCAGGATCAAGAAGAAAAAGGAGAACACCAAGGTAGCATCAGTCTGGTTCATGGAGGATTATGATAGTAAAGAATGGGTCTTGAAGAATAGTGTCAGCAATGATGAGTTGCGGAACATAAATGGGGTGGATTACAAGGTGGCTGCTTTTCATCCAGACTGTGACACCATTTTTCTGGAAGCACATTGGACCCTTCCCCGGACCCTGCGCAAGCGGGAGCTACATGCACTGGGCTGCCCATGTGATGTCGATGCATTGGCATCATACGATACTCTGCTACACACACGACGGTTGTGGACGATCTCCGCACGATGAAGCACATCAACCCGTCCATGCGTCGATTCAAAGTGAACCTACACCGTTAAATACTCCATCGTGCGCAGTTCGTTCGGCTATTGTCGTCCACACAGCAGTTTCGTTCCCTTATACAAGGCCACTATGAAAAATACATTTTGCATCTATACAAGGCCACTAACAGTACCCGAGGCAAAATTTAATGATGTTTTCTCGTAGTAGAAACTTGTTTAATACTTGCATGCATGTAGTCATAATGACATTATGCTACTTCCTTCTCATTCCTTCCTTGCATGCATGTGGGCGTATTAATGGTCCCAGTTAAAAAAAAGAAAAGTTGGCTTGCAAAGTAGTCATTGAGTTTTACCTAGGTACCTGTAATTTGAGTTTGTGGCCTTGTATAAGGGAATGGAGGGAGTATGCAGCATCAGAAATTCCATCGAATCCTTAATCTTGGGGAAAAAAAGACATCGAACTATCTACCCTATGTTCCACTTTTCTCAGACTCATTAGCAGGTGCAGATGGGCAGTAGTTTTACCTACAGCCCTTGCTCCTGCTAGCTTGATTTTCTGTTTGGAGCAATCCCCGGAAACCTTAGATGTTAAGCATACTGCAGTTTTCAAAGAACATGGTTACTATTTTTTTTGTTTGTTTAGATATCGTAATGCAGACGAATTGGTTTCATGTGGCTAAATTATTGTTCTGAAGTCTGGTTTTCTTGTCCATGATACTATGAAGGATTATGTGTCCTAAATCCCAATATTAGTGCGTCTCATTTCTAAACATTTTAGTGTATTCAGAGTTCCAATCAGACTATTGTAATGTCTGTTTTTTATGTTATAATCCTCAGGATTTCGGTGATGCAGTGCTACTTAACGAGTTTTTATCTGCTTTTGCTGTAGCTATTCAGTTTTCTGCATTTGAAATCCTTTGTTTATTCTGCCTGGTAACCGAGGGACTGAAAAATTGCATCAATGCAAAGAAAATACCAGCTGCACTAAGAAGTCTTATTGCTGGGTGAGCAAACACAAAGAAAGAAATGGCTCTTTCCTAGGCTGCATTATTTGTCAGTTGATTTCTGAACCAACTTTAGTGATGCAGTTCAGTCCGCTGGTGCCTACACTCCTGCTAACTTGATTCTTTGTTCGGAGCAATGTCTGGTATCCCCACAGATTGAGCATATTGTAATTGCAAAAACAACATGGTTACTGTTTTGTTGTTTGCCTAGCTTTTGGCCTGGACATGGATTTGGGAAGGAGGGAGTAAGAACGTTTTTTACACTATACTAATGTCAAAAACGTTCTTATATTATGGAACGGAGGCAGTAGTATTTAAGGAATATATGATTGTCCTAAACCCTAATATTGGTGGGTGCAGCTTAGTGTACTGAAAGTCTCAATACCTTAGTCCTCCGCGGTAATGCACTGCATCGAACAAGTTCCTTGTATCTACTTTTGCTCGAGCTAATAAATTCTGATGAATAAGGTTCCACATTGCTGCTAAATTCTTTTTGTTAATCATCAGGTGATAGATCAAAAGGTAGATATCACGTATTCTTGTGTCTCTGGTTCCTGCATCAGAAAGGTAAATATCACATAGTCTTATCATAGTCTTATGCTGCGCTCAAAGCGAGCTCATGCCTCCCGTTGATTAATCGGAACTACACAAGGCGTGCTCCGCCACGCCTGGCTATGGTCGCCTCCTCCATGATTTTAGATGAGCTTGGACTACATGCCGTTCATGATGCAAACAATGTTCTGAAAGAAGAAGAAAAGGCATTGATATCTGGAACAATAACCAATTTTAATAATGGCAGGCTCCTACGATACAACATAGACTAAGTAAGTAAAAGAATTTGGGGGGAAAAGTACTCCCTTTGTGAACAAATATAAAAGCATTTAGAACACTACTTAGTGATATAAATGCTGAACATATTTTTCAACAGTTCAACATTAATTAGATGTATCTCTTTTACAACTAACAAACATAAAGCTCCATGAAAAAATACCCCTGCTAAATAGCGTGATCCATCGCTCGATGGAAATTACCACTGAAAAAAGTGAGAATTAAAGAATTTGTGTTGTTCGATACAGATTGATGTGTTGACATTGCTGAGCATTTGTTGCCTTGTACTTGTTACAAACAATAAAAAAATGTAAGGTAAGGACATCTCCAATGACCCTCAAAACACCCGCAAACGTCCAGACCGATCTATCCAGACGCACTTTGCAATTCAACACGGATATGTATTTGTCTGTGGACATGTCTGCACGTTCGTTTCCCCGCAAATTTGACACAAAGCAGGGGCTTTGTGGGAGTCTGAACCGCCGCCACGTATGACTCCGACACCTACGGCCCACCAAAACCGAGGCGGGGTCTGAGAATTTGGAGCGCTCCGCATTGTTTCCGTACCAAAAACCCCGCTTTTCCCACCCTCTTCGCTTCGATTGCCGTCGCTCTTCACCCCAATTCCCGCACTTCTCATCGTGCGCCACCGCATTAACCCGTAAAAGAGCAGAGGCAGCTTCGAGGATGGACAAGTGGATGACACGGAGCCGAAGGCGTACACCCAGCAGTAGAGCACGTACATCCAGCAGTCAGAGCAGGACATGTACCCCGACGAGATGGGCCTTGATCCGGAGGATTGGTCGGCCGATCCAAAGAAGAGGGACATAGGAGAAAGTTTCAACATGAGGGAGGACGAATTGTTGTGTAATGCCTGGTTGGCCACTAAAATCGATTCGATCCATGGTATGGAGCAAAAGGACAACATATTGGTCCAATATTCATTCTTGATTCCATGAGCACAAGAATTTTGAGCCCTACCATAAGGAAGTCATCCGGGGGTGTGGGACAAAGTCGCTCAAACATGGATGGTACAACATCCAGGAGTCAGTGACCAAGTATTGGGGCCACTACAAACAACTAATCGGTCGGTAGCCAAGTGGTGCACAAATCACCGAGCAAGTAAGTTATTCTATGTGTTGGTCATTTGGCCGGATATGCTCATGCAACTTGTTGGCCGGATATGCTATATTTGTTGGTCATTTGGCCGGATATGCACTTTGTTGACAATGTCTTTTTTTTAGAAGCCCTCCTGTCCGTGCAACTTGTGTTTGAAGGTGGAGAAGAAAGCTTCGGCCTCATGCATTATTGGTTGAAGTTGGGCGCGCAACCCAAGTGGCGACTATCCATTGGCAATTCCATCAAGACCGACAACATCGAAAATAAGGAAGAAGTTGGTGATCCAACTAACCCCGAAAAATAACCGCCCAAGAAGGTTAAAGGGGGTTCCAGGGAAATATGTGGGAGGGGGAGAAGGAGAAGCGAGAAGGGGCAACGACCAAGATGACAGAGAGGTTCGAGGACATCTTGACAAAGAAGGAGGATGCATGCGTCAAGCGTTCTGGCGTGAAGGAGGAAAAGAAGTCGGAGAGGTTTAACATGTTGATGGCAGCGATTGAGAAATAAATCAAACTTGGAGAGAACAAGATCGAACTCGAAGAGAGGAAGGTAGAGCTCGTGTCCGCTTCATAGCCAAAATGTTGATCATGAGGATGGACGAGTTGGATCCCAATGCGGCGACATCATGCACAACATTCGTGTTAGGATGTTGAAGAGCTTGGCGACCGAGATGGAGGCGGCCGAGATGGAGGCGACCGAGATGGAGGTTGGCAATATTTAAGTTCCTTGGCCGAGATGTGCATGCTGGAAAACTGGGAGGAGAGATCTCAGTGTTTCCTATTGAGTCTTCTTACTGTTTTTTGTTCATTAGCGGGCGGCGGCGGCGTGTGGGGGAGCAGTGGCAGGCGGCGGCGGCGCGCAGGAGGAAGCGAGAGAGAGAGCAGAAATTTTACCCCGGCCTGTTTCGATGAAGTATAAGGCATCGGAATAAAAAATTTACTCCCTTACGACGGATAAGGGATTGGTTAGGTCCCGATTAGAGGAGTAAAAAACGCATTATTACTTCTCTAATCGGTTATAAGGGATCGGTCAGATATGCCTTAGGTAGTTAGGTCCCTTGGCCTTCCCTCAAAATAAAATAAAATAATAAGTTCCTTGGCCGAGATGTGCATGCTGGAAGACTGGGAACAGAGATCTCAGTGTTTCCTATTGGATCTTTTTACTGTTTTTTATTCATTGAAATTGATTGTTGGAGCAATGGATGCTAGAGTCTCAGTTAGACCTTCCTTCCCAGATGGAAACGTCTCACCAACCATGCACCAACATGTGAGACAGGGACACGAACCCAACCAAAGGGGTAGCTGCCTAAACTGCCATAGCTGCAGGAATAGAGTTTCATGGGTTGATTTGCTTCCACGCCAGCACTATTGTGGTGTATATTTCACTCGAGAGGAGCAAACGGGGTTAGATCACCTGATCCACCCTACCATCGAATGCCACATGGGTCATGTTGTCATCCCAGATCGTGCCTACGCTGCAAGTTGGAGAGATACAAAATGCTATGCAGCAATGTAACATAACATGGTACTAGCTCATGAGTTGGCTGGTTTCTTTTTTGTTGGAACATGTGCATGTGCGCAGACGTCGTGCTGCGCTTTTCATTTTCCTTTTAGAATGTGGTTAAGCAAATTGCAACCAGGGAAAAAATTTGTTTGATAATGGGATTGTCGTACGGAGCCTAAAATAACGGGTTTCATCAACACTCTTGTCAGAAACTCACTTGATCTAGCTCAACTTAATTAGTACTCCCTCCGTACAAAAAAGAGCATTTAGATCTCAGTGATCTAAACGCTCTGATCTTTCTTTACGGAGGGAGTATCTAGTGGGGAAAGTAGAGTACTGTAGATCACCTTAGCGGCTTGGGTTACAACCCAGTTACAGAAACATGATCAAGAATGAAAGGGAAATGGGGCTTTATAGCCATTACACTAGGGGAGCAGTTGAAAAGCAAACTGAAAAAAGAAGAAGTCGTTGTCGGACGTTGTTGAACAGCGACGCATGACAGTCTGAGAGACGTCCGATCCTTGATCAATGGCTGAGAGCAAGAACAGTTGAGCGAACCTGTATCTTGCTTGATGCGAGATGCACGCCAACCACCTCATCGAAGAAGAGTGAACAATCTTCACATAGTTCAGACAAGTTTCTGACAACTCTTGTCAAAGTAGCACATGCTGAAGAACACTCTTGTTTCTTTCAAAGAAAAAACACTTGCTCAGTACACTTCAATCCAAGCACAGGTACCTGAACGTCGATGTGTTGCTGCATCTCATCCAAGCACAAGTTTAGAATCGCAAGGGCAGAACAGACTAGCTCCTCAGGGCCGCCTCCTCCTCCCAACCCTAGCCGCCCCTCCTCCTCACCCCCTCCCCTCCTCCCTCCCTCGCCGCCGCCTGAGGCAGCCGTCGGGCAAGCCCGGGGCGCCAAGGATGGTGGCGGCAGGGCCTCAGTTGCCCTGCTCCTGTGTGGGGAACCCCGGATCTGGAGCGGCGGCTCCATTGGCAAGGCATGGCCCGCTAACAGCCGTGCGGGTGGTGGATCCGATGTCCCAGCCGCGCGGGTGGTGGGATCCGGTGGTCGTTGGCGGCCGGCGGCGGCTTCTGCGGTGGTCGCTGTGCGCGATCTGGCACGTTCCTTCCTTCCCTGTTCGGCGTGCGGGCCAACCTGGTCGGGCCGCGCTTCCTCTTGGTCGCCGGTTCTGTACAGGAGGTGTTGCTGGTGGCAGAGATCTAGTTCGGGGGAAATTCCTGGTCGGCCATGACTGGCTGTGCCGACGTCGACGCCTGAGGGCGCCGTTTCCCTCCTTGGAGGCGTCGGTATGGACTGATCTCCTCACTTCACCTTTCCCTAGGTTACCCGGGTGAAAGCTCTAACTCTGTTGGGCGGTGGCGGCGCTCACGGCGTCGTTCCCTTCTTGAAGGCGTCGCTTTGGGAACCTTGGGGTTGTGTGGCACTTGTGGATGGTGGACGACGGCGGCGGTGCGGTCCTTTCCTAGTATGGATTTATGTCCGTTGCTTGGAGATGGAGTCGCTTAGGTGGAGGTCCTCGACTGGCGTCGTGATGGCGTCAATGACGGAGGACCTGCCAAGGCTCACATAGGTGGATGGTCGTCGTTTGGCGTCGTGGTGGCGTCGATGGCGAAGGACCTGCCAAGGCTCGCGTAGGTGGAGGTCGTCGTTTGGTGTCGTGGTGGCGTCGATTGCGGAGGACCAGCCAAGGTTGTCGCCTCACTCTGCTCTGAAGATGGACCAGTGAAAGATGATGGTGACGACACGTGTGAGTGCGTCAGACCGGTTTGAGCCCCGGACCGAACAGATGGCTCGGTCGGGTCCTCCGGCTTTAGATGTTAGGCTTAGGTGAGAGGTATGGTTATGTGGCCCAGCTTACACCCCTTCATCAGTTGAATAGGAGTAGCGGCAGATGCTGCCAAGATGGCGGATTCAGACATATTGTTGTTATACTTTGAAAGGTCCTCAAGAGATAAAATGGCCATATGCATCTCCCAGATGCAGAAGCCGATGGTCATCCTCCTTTTCAAAAAAAAAAAATCTGATCGTGTTTAACTAAAGTCAAAGCAATAATCGAGGTAACCATGTGATATGACAGCAGCGAGCAAGTCTTAAACTCTTCACGTGAACAGCTCAACAACCGAAAGCAATAATCGATCTACCTCAGACAAGGCCAGGAACAAACGAAGCTTTATACTAATCGGAAATACAGTACTCCATCCCTATACATTTGTGAACAGAGGGAGTACTCGTCGTCTCAGTGCAAAAGGAGAAGCTGGAGATTTCTCGCGGCTGATATGCCTATCAGATTTGCCTCCTTCTAATCGAAGAAAATGAATGGAAATTGTAGCTTTTTTTTTCCCAAAACGGAGGCGATAACTTTGTCTCTTTTCAGTAATTAAGAAGAGAGTTTGCGAATAAGTACAAACACGACCACTAAGACGCGATCGAGTTACAATGATAGTGCTCTCGTGGCATCAAAAGATGTAAGATGCTTTGCACGTGCCAAAACCCATAGAGCGACCTCGGACTTAACCTTGGCAACATGTTGGTGATATAAGGGAGTACGTATTTGTTGTTACATCTGAGTGTGTTAACTAAAAGTTGGTTAAGCAAATTATAAATAGGCACAAGTTGATCTCAGAATGGGATTATAGTACGGATTATTGTACGGGAGCCTAAAATAATGGGTGTCACCAGCACTCTTGTCCAGTACTCCATGTTAAAGAACACTATTGTTCAGTACACTTCAATCCAAGCACACGTACCATAACATGTACGTACTACTCCGTGTTGTTAGGTCCGAACTTATTTTAAGCGAAATCAAAGCAATAATTTAGGTGACCATGTGATGTAACATCAGCCATTCAACCAACAAGCATAAACTCTTCACATGAGCAGCTCAACAACCGAACAAACCTTGACTCTTCCATAGAAAGAAACTTCGAGACTTTGACATTTGAGGAAGCCTTTGTCATTCAGCGATCGATCGACCTCCAGACGACCACATGCATCACGCAGATGCGTTGCCAGTCAGTCAGTCGCCTATTTGTAGAAAAACAAATGTCAGCAAATATCTGCGCAACAACACAAGGCTGTCGCCGTCCACGAACCCCTGTGCATCCCCGTCGGAAGACGGAAATCTTCAACCCAATGGGGTAAAATTCGGTCAAATTTATTGTGCCTGCCGGACATCGCAAATGATTTTCAACGGATTCTACGGGGGCGCCGCATTTGGACATGTTTTCCAACCAAGCGAGCGGGAGAACGAAATGGAATGTTTTGATTTGCGCAGGTGGATCGTCGCAAGCAAGCAACAAGGAAGCTTCTTATGGGGGGAGTACTATTATTAATCATTTGTCTGGAGAAATCTTTATACGAATTGCAGAAGATAGATGTAGAGTACAGAAGGCGAGCAGGAAAGACAAAATGGGGAGTAATTAATTAATTCTTGTTCTTGGCATCTATGGCGGAGCGGCGGAGATGGGTTCTCTGGTTCACTTGGCGCGGCGGCAGAGGGTGATGCCGTCGCCGACGGGGAGCTGGCAGATCTCGACGCGCTGGTCGGCGGCGAGGGCCTTGTTGAGCTCGAGGACGAAGTCGCGGTAGTAGCGGATGTACTTGCGCATGGGGGCGTCGGCGGGGAGCACGACGGAGCCGTTCCAGAGGGTGTTGTCGTAGCCGAGGAGGCCGCCGACCTTGACGAGCTTCATGAGGCGCTCGTGGTAGTTGAGGTAGTTGTCCTTGTCGGCGTCCACGAAGACGAAGTCGAAGGTCCCGTGGTTGGCCTCGTCCTCCAGCAGCGCGTCCAGGACGGGCAGCGCCGGGCCCTCGCGGAAGTCGATCTTGTGCGCCACGCCGGCCTTCTCGATGCACGGCAGCCCCAGCTCGTAGTTCTCGCGGTTGATGTCCATGGCCAAGATCTGCATTCCCGTTTCCATTTCTTCTTCAGTTTCTTGCTAAATTGGGAGCGGTAGATCTGGTGTGGAGAAGGAGCTTACGGTGCCGTCGTCGGGGATGGCGAGCGCGGTGGCGAGCAGGGAGTAGCCGGTGTAGACGCCGATCTCCATGGTCTTCTTGGCGCCGATGAGCTTGAGCAGCATGTTGAGGAACTGGCCCTCGTCCGCCGACGTCGTCATCAGGTTCCTGCACGCACGCACGCACAAACGAGATCCAGAAATCGTCAGATCAGAACCGATGACACCAGATCCAGGCGAGCCGAGATGGACGAACACATACCATGGGTGGTTGGCGGTGATCTCGCGGAGCTCCTTCATGCACTCGTGCTCGCGCGGGTACACGCTCGTCTCCAGGATGTACTGCAAACGCACGCAAGGATCAGATCAAGCCGGGAGAAGCCGCAAGATCTGGCCAGCTCGCCGGAGACGGTTGGAACGCAAGTAGTACCTGGTAGAGGGCGTCGCTCTGGAGCAGGCTCTTGTGTCCGACCTCGGAGTGGCGCGTGACCTGCTCGCCGCCGGTGGTGGCGGCCGCGGAACCGTTGGCGGGCTGCTGCTCCTTGGGAACCGCGGCCGTGGCGTCGGCTGCCGTGGTCGCCATTGCTGATGCTTGGTTCGAGGAAGGGAAGGAGCCGAGATCTGGGCTGCGCTTGTAGAGGCGGTTGGTTGGGTGATTGGATTGACGAGCTTGCCCGCCAGCGGCTTATATAGCGCAGGTGCGCGCGCCCGCCAGCGGGGTGGACGGCGAGAGGAGACGAGCCGGGTAGGAGGAAGGAAGTGGGAGGGGGTGGAACGGTCGTGCGGTTCGGGTGGACGGGGCCCCGGGCGTCGGCGGCACGGGGCGGTCGGTAGGAACTAGGAACACGGCGCTGGGTTGGTGAGCGCTGTACGGTGGATGGTGTGGGCTGCGTGCGACTCGACTCGACTCGACTGGTGCGGAGCGGGGCGGAGACCCAGGTCCAGCGAACGAGGCCTCGCTCGCTGGGTCGGCGTGGCGCACGGCGCACGGGGAGCGGCCGGTGCTGCGTGGATGGAGGACGGCGAACGGGACGGGGGAGGGGTTGGTGGGACGGCCAAGCTCGGCTCGGTGGAGTGAAACCCCGAATGGGTGCGTCGCCGTGCGGTGCGGTGGGGGCTCGGCTCGGGACAAGTACCTACCAGTTTTGCTTCTTTGCGTCCGTCATTCAGGTATTCAACCGTCGTCGCTTTCTCGAGCGGAAAACACAGGCGAGCCGGGTAATTACTTAGAGCATCTCTAGTGGATGGTGTATATGGAGATGGATGCTAAATTTACACTATCAAGATCAAAAAAGCCTTCCCAGTGGATCGTGTACCACGTCGTGCACATATACACGTCGCTACCACGAGCGTACCTGGCGTGGGAGTAAAGACGACCGAGCCACGCTCGTGGGCTCGCGCTCCCGCTCCCAGGACCGAAAAAAAGACTCCCGCTCCCGCTCCCGTTCCTCTCCGGCCGCCTCCCCAAGGTCGCCGTCGCCCCTCTCCGGTCGCCGTCGCGTCTCCTCTCCAGCCGCTGCCCAAGGTACCCATTTTCCCTTCCTCGCGAGCGGGAGCAGAGGGGCGGCGT